AGCATCTAAAGGCCAAATCAAAACAATTCACCAATTTAAAACTCACAGATTTCCATAAAAAAAAACACCCATTTCTCAAATGTAGCTAAATTTTAAGGGCACTAATTTCTTTAAGTTGTAATAATTATGAAAGAATTAATTATGTTCTTCGTTAAATACTTTAACATGGACGTATTAAGATGATCAAATACACTTTAAGCTCTAATTCTATAGCTGACGTATATCGGTCTGAACAGCTAGTATCCTACCTTAATTTGGATATAAGCTAGAGATTATCTTGCCACTTTCCCTCCTAACTTGTCCCCTCTTCTCCTAAATGAATTGAAGTACAACTATAGAGCATTTTGTGAGAAGGCTGGGTTGCTTTGTGTACATTTTTCACATTGTGACCGTTGCTGGTCAGGTGAGACCTTTCAGGAAGCCACAAATCATGAAAATTAGTTTATTCAGAAATCTGCAGTGTTCAATAATCTCAAATTAATTTCAGTGTAAATTTAAACATTATAACTTATAATGTTCTATAATAGTAATGTATATTTAAGTGTCTTAGTTTTTTTAATTTCAAGAATGTTTAGAATATTTTTTGCTTTTAATTTTTTGCATTAGAAAATAACGACTAACATTTGGCTTTTACCACTTTCCCTGCTTTTAATCTTGCTTCGAATAGAGTATTGCAGACTGTATGGAGACTGTATGGAGACTGTTGCATGTGTAATTCACAAGCAGTAAATATTGTGGTGGTATCAGTATTGGACCAAAGAAAACAAAGCAGTTGCTAGGATTTACAGTTACAGTTTTAATGGGTCAGACAGACTCAAAAAAATAGAGGAGGCAAATAATTTTTTTTGTCATGGTGCACCAGGAACAGGGATGAATCTAAAACCTGCAAGACATTAAATGTTGAGCAATTGAGTTGGAGACCTCTGCAACTCCATCATTCTTATGTACTTGTTATTTGTTTCACATGGAAATTCTATTTACCATAATGATAGACATTTTTCACCCCATATTTCATTTGAAAAACATCTCACCCATGTGGGTTCTCCTGAGTATATCTAAATGGTCAATTTCAGAGAAAACATTTCCACAAGTTTGGCTTCAAAATGGCCTTCGACCTGTATGAGTTTTCATGTGAATCCTCAAATTATCCCTTCGAGAGAAGCTTTTTCCACAAGATAGGCATGAAAAAGGCCTCTCACCTGTATGAATTTTCTTGTGACGATTTAAATCACCAATTCGCAAGAACCCTTTTCCGCATGACTTGCATGAAAAAGGCCTCTCATCTGAATGAATTCTCTTGTGATGATTTAAGACCTCCATTCGAGAGAAACTCTTTCCACATAACATGCATGAAAAAGGCCTCTCAGCTATATGAATTTTCTTGTGACAATTTAAATCACAAATCTGAGAGAATCTTTCCCCACATGTTTGACAAGAAAAAGGCTTCTCGCCTGCATAAATTCTCCTGTGGTGATTTAAATAGCTAATTTGAGAGAACGTTTTTCCACATGACTGGCACGAAAAAGGTCTCTCACCTGTATGAATTCTCTTGTGGACATTTAAGTTACTAATTCGAGAGAAACTCTTTCCACATGACTGGCATGAAAAAGGTTTCTCACCTGTATGAATTTTCTTGTGCCGATTTAAAACATTAATTAAAGAGAAACTTTTTCCACATGTTTCACATGAATAAGGTTTCTCACCAGTGTGGGTTCTGTGATGGATTTTCAAGTTACACTGATGTGTATAACATCTCCCACAAATGTCACATTTGAAAGGCTTTTTCTTTATTCCAGTATCAGACTGACTCTCTGACACAGAGCAGCTGCTTCCTTCCTGATCTTTGCTCTCAACCACTGGAGAGACATGAAGGGAAAGCTGCTCTGTTCTTGTATCTTCTTCACTCATATCATCTTCCTGAAGAGTAGAAGTCTCAATCAAAGCAACAAACTGCTTCTGGACAAGCTGCTCTCCCTCCTGACTGCTGCAGAGGTCCTTCTGGTCCTGTCCAGTTGGTAAATATTCTGGTGGCTGCTGTTCATGTTGAAGCACTGAAGAATCTAGCTCCTCTTTTCTTACATACATTAGTGAATATTCTATTTCCTCATGTTTGAACAGTGTAGGTTCTGGTTCCTCCTCTTCTATTTTAATCCATTTAGGTTCTGGTTCCATCTGTTCCTCTTCAGTCCACTGATGTTCTCCTTCTTTCTGGTCCTGATTGGACCTACTTGCCAGGCTCCAGACTTGTAGGATGGCAGAAGCTTCTTCTTCATTGGAGACACTTGGCTGTTGGAGGTCTGTGGGAACAAAGGATGACATCATTAATATAATTTAATTGACTATTTAATGGGTCAACCTGGTTTTTCCTGGAGATTCTAGTATGTAGGGATCATACAGTTAATCTAAAATTAGTTTGTAGAGTTCAACAGAAAAGCAGGTAAAGTATTCTCCACACTTCATTACGGCTGTGGCAAAAATGTTCAAATGATTTTAATCCAGAAGTACAGTTTCATACTCATTTATTTTTAACAAATGTTTAATTTTAGGACATTCATACAGTAAAGAACTCATCCTACGTTAAAACTATTTTCTAAATTTTACTTGTAACCTCACTTTTTAAAGTTGATCAGACTGTGTAGTAACATTAATCAGTAAAACATGGCATTCTGGTTCTCTGGATTATAAATGTGATTAGATATAGAAACTTGTTTCACTAAGTTACTGTTCAAAAGAAGAAAGAGAAGAGCATATTATTTAATAAGATGTGTTGATGTTCAAAAGGAAGTGGATCCAAGAAAATACTGAAAACCTATTCATTACTGATCCGACTGTCGATTTAGATTAATAACTGGAAGGGTGAGAGATGAGGCTGGATGAGGTTATCGTAACACCACACACTGAGGGGGATGGTGGTGCGGGTCAAAACATCTCCAGGTCTCCCTGGCCCGGTCCCAATACTCAGGCTGCATCTTACACCCTTCCATGAAGCAAAATTGTCCCTGCAGCAAACTGTCCAGTGTTTCCACAGGTAAAAACCAACATTCAGTAGATTTAAAAACAAAGGCATGATGATCAAACGAAGGATACTGCTCAAATGAAATCTCTTCAGCACTCAGTGAATTATTAAATATTGAAGCAGTACCACCACCTCTACTGCCACTTGAGCATAAAAAGAAAATTTCAAACCGAGCGGATGGTCTCAGTGAGCACACCTGATGCAGCCAACCAAGTTTCTGTGAAAAACAAGCAATCCAGTTTAGCATCAAAAATGAAATGATTTCCAATAAAAGATTTGTTTAAAAGAGAGCAAACATTTAAAAGAGCCATTGAGAGTGACAGGTGAACCGTTAATCGAATGACGACAATCTGCAGCTCAAGGAGGAAAATTGTGGGAATCCAAAACGCTACAGCAGTTTTGTGGACCGATGGCACTGTAAGGCTTCCCAGGAGATGCCCAGTGCCTGCGAGTCCCAGCTGTCACCCAACACTCCGAATGCGCAGGAGTCGAACTACGGTAATTTTTGGGTTTTGCCCCATGCTGAAGCCAGTGTGTTTGACTGGAGTCCAAGCAGGACCCAAGTTGTCAATGGCTGACAGTGAAC